GTCTATATATCTATTACTTTAAGGCCCGCCGTAATGATTGAAATGTGATAGACAAGAAAAAAACAAATGTAGGCTAAAAGAATTTTCTAACTATTTTGTCTTCCTACATAATAATTCCAAGTGATAAATGTTTTGAAACGAGTTTTAAATTTTTGAAATGAATACCAATGCTAAGAGCAGCTCGTGTTGTAATTGACAGAACTCTGGTGTTGAACGTTTGTACTAAGTATGGGAGACTAGATATTGGTTAAGAATAGCTATAGGTTTATCTCGTGTTCATCACTTTTCCTGAAACACTCATGTCGTAAAAAGTTGCCAGATCTCAACTGTACAAAAACTGTAGCATTCAGCAGGTATAGTGCAGACACAGCAACATCATGTAGCATACAGCGAGTATAGTGTGTGATTTATAACGATTAAAGAACACTCTATTATCTGAAAGCCAGAAAGGCATCTCCAGTAGATACAGTAACGTACTGAAACAGCACTTGTCATTCTTTCACTGATTTGTTTTCCGTCTGACTACTGCTACGTATTAGAATTTCGAATAGTCCGAAGCCGTGTTAACTGATAATTTAAATTTAGTAGTTAAACTGTACTTTGGATTTAGTATTTAAATATATGCCGATATTTTAGTCAATTTACGATATTTGCCAACAAGATTGATACACACTGTTTTCATTTTTAACACAAATACGTTTTAATATACACACAACAATACAGTTTACAATAACAGTTATTACAAAAAATGATTTATAAAAAAGAAGTTTCACAAACTTACAAACAATATAAAGTTTTCTTTCTAGTCCGGAACTTCCTTGATACTGAGGGTTTACGATGAGCGAGTTAATTACGAGTTGATGTAGATACGATTCGCTGGGAAGCTAGCTAGCTTTGTCCTTTGCCACACACACTGAGCTCTCCACGATGAATTTATATGTTTTCGTAAAATTACTAATGTCCGATGAGAATCCATTGAAGTTAAATGATTTGTAATGTTCGAAATTTATAAATGTTCCTGGTCAGATATCTTAAGTTTTCCGATTGATAAGCGTTATAACAATCACAGTTATAGCTTTCGAAGTTTTATAGCACACCGATATACACTGAACTAATAATAGAATATCTCCTTGGCACGTCGCGTTGGTTATATTTATAGCTGTGTGAAAGTTTTCTAGAAAATTCAGTCTTACGTAGCAATACTGGTTAAAGCGTTTACGTATATAGATATATTGTTGATTCTTACTTTCGGATTCTTCTACAACTTTGGA